CAAAGAAACACCGAGGAACGGGATTTTCGGTGTTTTGTCTGTGCGGAAAATGGTTTACTCACTCCATTTTTTGTGCTGCAATTCTTTGCTCCCGAACCCTACAGAAACGCTTGCTACGCAGGCTACCTCTCTTTTTTCTTCGTCCGCTTCCTAGCTTCGCGCAAGGTTTCTTCACAAGAGCAAGAAAACAGATTTACAGGCATCAGCAGTATCGACATATGCGCAATGAAAAGCGTTGCGATGTGCTTATTTTGTGGAAAATTGTTGAGGTATAAAAGTATTATTTTAAATGTAGACTCGAATCATGGCGCTAAAAATACGTGTTGCAGTGACAGTGTTTCGTTGACTTTTCTTGCGATGATGCAGTGTTCGTTAATTTTTTTTGCAGTGTTGTGGTGTTCAGAACCCCTCATGTCCCCCTCATATCAGTTAAAAGGCCTTGACATGACGATCAGTTAACGGCAATAGGAGAGCTAGAATGCATGACAATGAAAATCAGATTGTAATGATTTTGAATTTCCTAATCTGAGGAATTGATTGCCTTTACTAGACACTTCTTACAAGTTATTTAACATCAAACCCGCTTACCAAGGCATGTGGTTTTGTTCAGGTGGCAAGTGGATTATTGCCAAAGTGCTAGACTTGCCACAAGTCGACCTCATCAGGGTCCGAAATTGCTCTTTCCTGGTCGCAATGCGACTAAAAATTTTGCACTGGCGACCAGAATTTCACAACTGGTCGCCAGCGGGCGATTAACTATTTCAAGCCACGATAATTACACAAACTTTGATTTTCAGTCAAATCAACTAAAATAAAATTCAAAGCCGCCCGCCAATTGGTCACTTACTTTTTACCTTTCCGCTGCTTTTGAAGTATAAAACCGATTTTCCTGTTATTATAAATCTACCACAACGTTTCCCAGCCACGATCAGTGCGAAGCTTTGCCACCATGTTTTTTCAGCGGTTTCCCATAACATACGTATTGTGGGCGCAAGAGGCCACATGCGTTCTTTTGCTATGAATATTTATTCAGGCGATGTGGTGTCCATAGATGTTCTGAACTCTTTCCGTAATTTATTACAAAGTGGAGACGGAACATCCGCGAAGAAATTAGTGGAAGATTTTGATATTCAACATGGTGATCCGTCGATCGTCTTGACAGAACACAAAAGGAAAGATCGTTTTGAACATAGAGCAAAGAACCAAACAGCAGTTTTCAGTTGGGTACATTTCTTCTTCAAAAGGTAGAGACAAGAGGAGGTATAATGTTGACTTGAAACATTTGGCAGTTGCACGAAACTGATATGGCTGGCATTTGATTCGTGCGTCGTGGTTTTTCAGTGGTATGTGTATAAATAATCAGCGTGTTTGTATTTAATCTTATCGTTAGCGGAAAAATTGTCATCGCGGCCCCAAACATGTTCTCTTCGTTCTGATTCTTAAAAGAAAAATTGGCGACCAGAACTTTCCATCTGGAGATCAAAAATTTTGGTTTGTGTTTTGCTGCGAAGGAAAAATTTTATTGACACTTTTTGGTGACCACATATTTCCATATGGTGACTGAAAAAAAATTTCAGTCGCCAGTTGGCACCTGCCTAAAAAAGTTAATTTCGGACCCTGACTCATTAGTTTCAGGGTAGGGTAGCTATGCAAGCGAAGTGAGCTGCAAGGTTTTAAGCCGACTTGCCTCGCTAGAAGAGTTTTCATTTGTGTTTCGTGCAAAGAAATGAGGAGTGGCGTGACTTGCAACGGGTGTCTCAGATTACCTTTGTGGGTCCTTGACTTGAATATTCAAGGAACGTATTGATACCTTTTTTTAACTAAAATGTCCTTCAACTGTTGTTCTGAACAATCTCCTACGTAAGACACTGAAATGCCACGGGAATTTAGGTTTGAGATCTAATCTTTCGGCACAAGCGAAATCAGCGAAACCACTGCTGCAGCAAGATGACAGCTATTCTCTCCATTTGAACAATGAAAAGGGTGCTGAGCTAGCTCTCAAGTCAAGCTTTTCCTAGCTCCGGTCGGGGCAGAAACAAACACCTCTCTTACACTTCCACGGTCTTGTGCTGGTATACACACATTGAGCGACAAAAGTGTCGAGACACTTGGCAGTAAAGTTCGATTTTTCAGCATCTTAGACACATCTTCCTCACTCCCCCCCAAACAATGTTGATTTTTCTATTTCTTAGACTGCACAGACCACAGAGTCTACACAACATTGAATTGGGGGGTCGGGGGTATCAGAGAATTAACGCTAGATGCAAATAAAATAGAACAAGTGCTTAAATATCAAAAAGCATCATTTCCTAAATGTGTCTCAACTACTTTTGTTGCCCATTGTAGTCGCGCAATATAGAATATTCTAGGGCCTTTAAATGACTTCTTAATGGCTTTTGCAATCAACCCCATATTGAAGTCAACTGCAAGTCACGTTTTGTTGACAGTTCCATCCCCAAGGGATATTCATGGCAACTCTGATTGGTCGAAGTGCAGCGACTTGTTTTTGGGTCGCTAAAATTGGTGCCAATCAAGTAGGAAGAGTCCTTTGTCCGGCGGGTGCTGAAAAAACAAGACGAAGGACTTTCCTGAAGTGCCCTATCTTGGCACAATATCAAGAAGCATTTTTTACAACAGGCAATGTTTGAAGAGCTATGCTGATGTCAATTTTTGTGCCAGGGATATCCCCAAAAGACTGTTCCGCATTAGTGACATACAAATTTGCCCATACTGCACTACTACTGCTTACGATGAGTGGCCAGGTGGTCAGTTTTTTAAATGCTTGTTAAAATCAAATGACTCACAGTAAAATATAAAATTATGTACATGTAGACTTCATAAGCATGCAAAACCAGTTTTCTGTTAACTTTTTGTGGAATGGGTAGTCTAATAAATGGTTCTGAAATTCAATGAAGATAAAATTATATTCATTGATGTATGAATTAAAAAAATACTTTAATTCCGATTTTATTCTACTCACAAGCTTCAAATTTCCATGGGAAAAAACATACCGTAGGTTGATAAGCCATTTCACTCTCTAGACTGTCCTCATCTGGCACAGAGAACCCCTGAGGAAATGCTCTCCTATAGGTCAGAGCATCAGCTGCTTTTACAGCAATAGCCAGGCTGTGAAGCCAGCTCCACTCTGGAACAAGGGAATTATCATGAAGCAATAACGTTGAATTGCTCTGTGTTTTAGATGAATGACATAGCACTTTATCCAAGTCCAGGCCAACAGCCAGTGCAGATAGAGATTGCAGAAACGGACTATGAACAAGTTGGTTGCCTTGGTTAATTTTGGTCTACAATGAAGAAAAGACAGGACAACTGAATAAGTTATTCCACTTGCCAATAAGCTGTTGTTGTCACTCTAATGAGATATAGAAACACTTGTGAAGGTTTGGGACAACTCAAAACAGCTGTGGAGACACTCGCTTGCAGCTTGTGTTCCCATGGGATTTCTCGTTCTCCAAGACTCCTAGACAAGTTTCTAACTCAATAGAAACAAGGAAATTGTTTTAAATAGTCAACGACAAGAAAATGAGTCGGAAAAGCAGATATGTAAACAGCAAGCCATGCTTCTGTTTTTAGTTTACCTGCAATGTGAAGATTTCAGAATAAAAACTAGCGATAAAAAACGATGTTTCGATCTCCCTGATATCATTTTCAAGTTGTAGAAAAAGCGAATGAAATATACATATATAAGTACAAATTAGGGGATGAGAATGTCCAACAACAAAATATGTAAATACAAGCACTAAAATGTAAGTGTTAAAATAATAAAAATACTATAAAAAACTATATAAATATCTGCACAGATTGAATCTGACTGTTTGACTGTTGCACGGATTGAATCTGACTGCCACTGAATTTCTCAAACTCTGTCAGAATTTTAATTTGACAGCGACCTTTGCTAGGGTTAAGCAGACTAAAGTGAACAAGTGGAGGTGATCAGCTAATGCAGTTGAAGGAGGCGTCGTTAGCGAAGAGCTACGCCTGAAGAGGAAGCAATTAGCAGAGCTTAGGCTTGAAACTCAAGATGTTTACAACAAAATCAGAGCGAACTGTTCATCACTACATTTCCTTTGCATCCCAAAAACGATTGTTACCCTACGTAATGAACAGTACTGACAATCAATGAATGGCCACACCACGAAGATTTTACGGCTCCTTGACATGATACTGATATCGATGAACATATTAAGAACATTTCGTCCTACAAGCTTTCCTTCTTCCAAAAACTGGCACTAAGTCGCGGTCTTGACTTTGCTCTTCCACATCCAAGGAAATCAAAGCTGCTTTGAAAAGGCTTTCTGGAAATTAGAACCGGTGTTGAGTGAAGAAAACAACGGCTGCATCATTACGTTTGATTGCTTTGAATTACATCGAACGAAAGACCCCAGCACTACCAAGAGCAATGTTAAGAGCAATCGGCCAGTTGAAAAAGAAGAATGACATTGTTATCACGAAGCCTGATAAGGGATCAGGAGTGGTTGTGATGGACAAGTCAGATTATGTGCGCCTACTGAGAAAGTCCTCCATAAACAACGAAATCAAGTTTAGACCAGCATGCGCTGAAAGACCCAAAATGAGAGGAAGACCTCCCAAGCATTTCCACCCGCTATTTCAGAAAGAAAAGGAGTTAACTACCACTGTAGAAAGAATATTGCCCAAGGCAGTTGCTGGCACAGTTATCCAAAATAGTTCGAGACTAGCCCATCTCTATGGCCTGCCAAAAACCCACAAGCGATAACTAGCAATGTGGCTGATACTCTCGGCAACCGGGACATAAAATTTTATTACAACTTGGCAAAGTGGCTTGATGAAAAGCTTAAACCCCTATCAGTCAATGATCCCACCATTAGTGATGTTTTTAATTTCGTGGATGCTCTCCATGACATGGAAGTTGACAATCACAGCATCCTTGTTTAATATGACGTAACTTCCCCGTTAACCAATGTCCCTGTTGATGAGACGATACAACTTCTAGCTGAAAAGGCATTTAAGGATGACTGGTTCAATAAGCAGTGTAATCTCAACACTACAAAATCAGACTTGGTAGAGCTGCTAAATATTGCCACTAAGAACCAGCTTTTTCAGTTTGAGGGAGTTTGTATGAACAAACCGATGGTGTTACTATGGGTTCGCCACTTAGCCAACGCATTTATGTGCAGTATCGAAGATCGACTTCAGAACCAAGGCAAGTTACTCGAGTTCTACAAATGCTATGTGGATGACACATTGAGCATAATGCCTGAAACTGAAACAGCTGAAGCATTCCTTTCCTCTCTAAATGAGAGCCATCCATCTGTCAGCTTCACCATGGAACTTGGCGAACATGGTAAACTTACTTTCCTGGGAATGGAGATCGGGAAATGCAATGGTCGCCTGGAGACAAGGGTGTACAGAAAACCAACTGACACCGGATTATTACTACATTACAAGGGCCACGTCGATGTTAGATACAAGAAGTCATTGCTAAAAACAATTCTGGATCATGCCTTTAAATTGTCATCTACCTGGCAACTGTTCCTCTTGGAATGTGATCGTCTCATACAAACATTCTCCCAACTTCAGTACCCAGCCCAACTGCTGCAATCGACCATCACTAATTGTCGCCAAGAAAGTTTCTGGGATCCAATTACCACACGAGCATGTAACGTAAATGAAGCACCTGTCAGAATAGTGCTACCATTCAAGGATCAGAGATCAGCCAATTCCGTGTGAAGGCAACTTGGGGAACTCAGCCGCAAAATTGGAATTGATATTCGCCCCGTGTTTACAAGCTGTAAGATCAGACACGAAATCAAACCAAAAGAAAAGAAGCTGCCTATCATTAACCAGCAACTCGTTGTTTACTACTACAAGTGTGGTTTGTGCGATGCAAACTATGTCAGGTAGAACTTTTGCAAGAACTTGTGGTGACCAGACCGAAAAGCGCACTCCCCTTGCTAAACTTATTAGATGTTCTCACAGTAAATAATGTTTATAGACTACAAGCTCTGAAATTCACACATTCTTGGTACAAAGGCCTACTACCAAGCTTGTTTCATGATTTCTTTCAACATGCCAGTGAAGTACATGGATACTACACCAGATATGCATCTAGACAAAATCCATACATATCTAAAGTGTGTACCAATCCGCCGTAGGAAAAAAGATGACGGCTGTACATTTTACCACAATGCCTTGCGAACCTAACACAGCCCGTAAGGCACAAAGAAAGCCTTATAATTGCAATATTTGTCCCTGTACAAAGGATATTAAGTCGCCTAGGTGTGAAGATTTTCTAACGCTTCTGTACGTTTTTATGAACGTTGTTTAGGTTTTTGTGTGCTAAGAACTATGGGTAAATGTACCAGTCACCATCTTTTTTCCTACGGAGGATTCTGGTAAACAATTGCTTATGCAGCGACTATTCTCTGGGACAATATCCCTATTCATCTTAAAGATCTCAATACCTTCAACTTCTTGAAACATCTGAAACTATTTACTGTATGAACAACATTCTGAAAACAAGTAATATTTCTATATACTCCTTTTTTCCAATTTTATGTACATATCTCATTCTCTTAATAGCTTTTTTTTCTCTTAAATCTCCATAGAAACATAATAACTGGAGGTTGACTACAAAACCCTTGGTTACTTCAGTCTCCAGACTCATATAGTACACTTTTTTCTTTGTCTTTACATTTCACTGATATAAAAAATAGGTCCGCAGTGCGAACTTGTGTGGGATTTCAGTCAAATAAAAGTTGATGTGCTTGGGATAAATCAGAGAAATTGTAGCTTTACAGATAGACAATATCATACGTAGCAGAAAGCTTGATCTATTACATAAGATCAGTTTTGGACACTGTCCAGATTACTTTATTCCATATATACATGATCTAAAGGACACTCATAGCTACAATACTAAAGCTACAACCAAGTATAACCTAGTTATTCCTAGGTGCAAGAGAGTTTCAGGTTGCAGGACTTTCCATACAAGCACAACTTGCCTTTGGAATAATGTTGATGTTTCCATTCGTGATACTACATCGCACAAACAATTCACAGGAAAAGCACGCCAGAAGCTACTGAAACAAAATACTACACTAGAACACTTTGTAATTAGTAGCACTTTCTAGATCTTATTTGTATTAAGTCAATTTAAATTTTAATCACTACTCATAAGTATATAATATGTAAATGATTTTATGTAAGATTAGGGAGGGCCATATTGTAAACTACTGGGCAACCAGTAAATTATGTTACCCTCATTAAATAAAGTCTTTTTATTTTTTATTTATTTATTTTATTTATTTATACATTTTGTCGTGTTGTAGTGATGAATGTCGAGTAAAGATACCGTAGAGTCCTGATTATAAGATCCCAGGCTGCAGCAGGGTCCTAAATTAACTTTTTAAGGCAGGCGCCCACTGGCGACTGAATTTTTTTTTCAGTTGCCATATGGAAAAATGTGGTCGCCAAAGTGTCAATAAAATTTTTCCTTCACAACAAAACAGAAACCAAAATTTTTGGTCACCATTGGATTGCCAGCAAAATATTTGCAATTGATGTAATCAGGAATCAAACCAGTGCGCAAATCATCTTTTGACTACTCTGACAGATCTACATTTCCGCCTTTTGACACCCAGAGAATATCTAAATCTTCAACTAATTTCTTCACGGATGTTCCATCTCCACCTTGTAATAAATTACGGAAAGATTTCAGAACATCTTGGGACACCACATCGCCTGAATAAATATTTATGGCGAAAGAACGCATGTGGCCTCTTGTGCCTGCAATACGTATGTTATGGGAAACCGCTGAAAAAACATGGTGGCGAAACTTCGCACTGATCATAGCATTGAAACTTTGTGGTAGATTTATAATGAGGAAAATCGGTTTTATACTTCAAAAGCAGCGGGAAGGTAAAAAGTAAGTGCTCAATTGGCGGGCGGCTTTGAATTTTATTTTAATCAATTTGGCTGAAAATCAAAGTTATTGTATAATTGTCGTGGCATGAAATAGTTAATCGCCCGCTGGCGACCAGTTGTAAAATTCTGGTCACCAGAGCAAAATTTTGTCGCATTGGCGACCAGGAAAGCGCAATTTCGGACCCTGCTGCAGATGAAAAAACCAGTTACAGGAGAAACATGTTTGGACTTTAGTCTCCAGGAAATTCGCTCCCTTAGGGATTAGTTACGTGGAACTCTTTATCGTAGTAAATGACCCTTTTACCAGTGAGTATGACCAATATTTCCGGAGGTAAATTTCCCGTAGTTAATGCCCGTGAATACATAAAAAAGATCACAT